GCTAGGAGCCAGGAGCTTTTTCTGGGTCTCCCACAAGGGTGCAGGGACCCAAGCACTTGGGCCATCTTCTGCTGCTTTCCCAGGGCACAGCAGAGAGCTGGATTGGAAGAAGAGCAGCCAGGACACTAACTAGCACCCATATGGGATGCCAGAGCTGAAGGTGGAGGCTTAGCCTACCACCCTACAACACCGGCCCCAGAAGGCAGAACTTTAGTAGTGGAGCCTGGAGATACTGATATTAGACATTCTAATTTTCATTTTTTCCCTTTAGAATGGGTTTATTCTGTATTATTATCACTTTTGCCATTGTCTCACACAATTCTGCTTTTCACTGGTGTTTAGTGAAAACAAAAAGCTGCTGAAAAATTAACATCAAGGAGGTAGGATTGCTTCAGGGGGCATCTTACCGTATTCAGTCTCTCGCATGGCATTAGTGGGTTGGGTGTTTGGTTAGCCACCTTTTAGACTAATTTGTGAAAAACTTGGCAGGCTGAACAAAATGAACATGAATTTTTTTCAACTTTATTTTTGTAAAAAAATTATATATTTGAAAGGTAGAGAGGGGGTAGAGGAGGAGGAAGAGGAGGAAATAGGGGAAGAGAGAGAGAGAGAGACAGAGAGAGAGAAACAAACAGAGATCTTCCATTCACTGATTCACTTCCCAAATGAACACAATATCCAGGAGGGTGACAGGCTGAACCAGGAGCCTGGAACTCCAACCAAATTTCCAAACAAGTGGTAGGAACTCATACTTGAGTCCTCACCTGCTGTATCCCCATAGTATGCATTAGCAGGGAGCTGGATTGGGAGTGGCGTGGAGACCTGAACCCAGGCACTCTTGTATGAGATGTGAACATTCTTAATTGCTGTGCCAATCGCCCAACCAAACACGAATTCTTTAAAGAGCCTGATATGATCTCTCCGCCCAATCTCTTATTCATTTTTTTGAAGTGCCATTTCATCCCCAGTCTTCCCACACTTAATGATGATATCTTATGAAGAGCATCTGCATGGTACGTCCTCACTAACAAATCTGTTGAGAGAATGCATGAATTTGCAGCATTGATTACTCAACTCTATAAATACATTTTTGATTCCTTGGCCACCACCCTAGATACCATACACTTAAATGGACTTTTACTTCTTCCTTGCCTAACTCTGTTTCCTGAGATTATCAGCTGAATAAATAATCTGTACTCAAGGTTGAGTCACCCCATCACAAGCAAGATCATCTAATTGATTGTTCATGCTACTTTTCAATAGCCAAAATAAATGTAGGACAGGAAGTACACATCGTACTGTTCTCTAGAAGAGAGAATAAACACCCTTTTGAGATCTCATAATCTTAATTATAAATGAAAGATTAAATGACCTTGGATCACTTTCAACAAAAATCTAGCTTTAAAAAAGTAAGATCTCCTCTGCACCATTAACTCTAAATTAGTTTGGGCTTTTTATTTTAACCCTTCAAGGAAATCGAACGCACACAGTTGAGAATCTGTGTGCTTCAGGGAGCCTGAGGACTTTGAAAAAGAGCAGGCCATTGTCTTTTACCAGCCATGAAACCATGCAGAAGGGTGACCAGCACCACATCAAGAACACTTATGTTGATATCTGACTCTTGGTCTCATACCTTAGCTACTTAGATCATTAACAATTTGATTTGTCTCACAAGAAATAAATGTATATATGTGTATATATATATATATATATACAGATTAATGGTATTGAAACCTATCTAAAAAATCTAAGAATATGAGCATTGTGATTTCCAGAATGTTCTTTTTTAATTTATTTTTGACAGGCAGAGTGGACAGTGAGAGAGAGAGACAGAGAGAAAGGTTTCCCTTTTGCCGTTGGTTCACCCTCCAATGGCCGTCGCGCTGAGACCGGCGCATCGTGCTGATCCAAAGGCAGGAGCCAGGTGCTTCTCCTGGTCTCCCATGGGGTGCAGGGCCCAAGCACTTGGGCCATCCTCCACTGCACTCCCAGGCCACAGCAGAGAGCTGGCCTGGAAGAGGGGCAACTGGGACAGAATCCGGCGCCCCGACTGGGATTAGAACCTGGTGTGCCGGTGCCGCAAGGCGGAGGATTAGCCTAGTGAGCCGCGGCGCCAGCTCTCCAGAATGTTCTTTGCAGCTGAAGCTGTGCCTTGGTTTCTAAAAGTCTTGACTGCACTCTAACATTCAGTTAAGCATAGACCTAGAAGAGACTCCCTGCCTAGATTATTGCTCCTTAATCCTTTAGTATATGCTTGAGGGAAGAGAAGGTGGAACTTGCCCAAGGTTGGACAGTAGCAGCGGACTGGACATAGGTTTCTTGCCTGTCTTCTGTTCCAAGTGGGACATGTGAAAGAGGCTGCAACTGGATATGAGGACTTTCCATAGTATGTTTTCCCAGGTGGACACACTGGTGTTCATATCAAAAAGAAAAGACAGAGCTAGGACCAGCACACCAGTATGTACACCAACAAGGAAAAAAATAAAAAAAAAAACAGTTGTTTTTGCAAGCCGTATGCAAAAGTAATCAGAAATGAACAAAGTTTTTGTCTTATTTCATTTACTTATGCAACTATATTATCAAAATTCTTAGAATGAAATCACTAAAGTTGTAGTTTCTCTTTCAAAATCATTGTTGCTGTACAGGAAAATTAATGTTAAAGGTATAAAATGTTAAATTATATGTAGTTATATATTATTTATGTATATATATATATATATATATACATTTTTGAGTCATTTGAGGGATAATAGGAGACTATTTCCTGTGTTTAAAATTTGTTTCTCATTTGTCACCTTGACACCTAAAACATTTGTCTCTGGTTTCTGCCTTTTGGTTATGATCATAGTGGACAGCTGAAGAGATGTCGGTGCTACAGCAAGGTTTATCAGCTTCACTTATTAGCATGCTACTAGAGAAGAGTGACCTGAGGGAGTGGGACATAGAGTGCATACATCTTGCTGGAAACAGTGGAGAAAAAGAGAATCAAAGAAGGAAATGGTGCATCATGTTGAAGACCAGATTTTCAAAACTGAGAGCATTCACAGAGGGGGCACTAGAAACTGAGATAATAGCATTACCACAGTTTGCTTGATTAACTTAGAGAGTTTATTTTTATTTTTTAAAAATTAACTTCTTTATTTGAAAGGCACAGTTACAGAGTGGGAGAGACATCTTCCATCAGCTGGTTCACTCCCCAAATGGCCACAATGGCTGGGATTGCACCAGGCCTAACCCAGGAGCCTGGCGTTTCTTCTGGGTTTCTCACATGGGTGGCAGGGCCCAAGCACTTGGGCATCCTCTGCTGCTTTCCCAGGCACATCAGCAGGGAGCTGGATTGGAAGTAGAGCAGCCGGAGCACAAACTGGTGCTCATGTGGGATGCCAGTATCACAGGCAATGGCTAAACCTGTTCTGCCACAACATCGGCCCCTGATTTTTCTTTTTTAGTAACAAAATGTTTATAAGATTTACATAGTATTTTGCCGGTTATCTGGCACAGTTAGAGCCATAATCTTATTTAAGCTATTGTGTCGGTGGACTCAGACATATTCTATTTGGTATCTCCATGTTTAAAGACAGTGAAATTGAGGCACAGGGTTGTGACTGATCAAAACTCACATAACCCGTGAGTGTGAAAGCTAAGTTAGAGACACAGCTTTTAGTTCTCAGAGGTGCTTCCACCTGTCCTGTATGAGGTTGGGAAAATAATTTATGCTTCGCCATCAGGTGACCCAAGGCTGAACTGAGCCTTTCCTTGCCAGCTGTGTAACTGCTCTGAATCTCAGTTTCTTTAACCTTAACTAAAAGGGAGTAATAGTAGGTAGGACTGTTGTGACGATTACAATAGTTACAGCAAGCAAAGCAACCATGTTCTGCCTGGCATGTGGCAGGTGCTCAATACATGGCCCTATAACCATTTGAAAAGATTTGTACTGTCTGTATTTCATATATTCCCTTGCACCTAAAGGTGCAACAATGGACTCTACAGTCTATTCACTGATATCTCCTTGGTATGAAAGTGTGTGTGCGCACATGCATATGCACACCAGGGTGCATGTGTTGGGGTCCACCTCTTCTTAGGTGCTCACACGTATCTGTGTGCATGTCTTAGAGTACAGCAGTGTCTCCTATGTTCCTGGATTGTGTGGAACCAGACACAGCAATCAAACATGGAGCATTTGTCTACTACAAATAACTGGAAACTGGAACATGATCCTAAAGCTAACTCAACCAAGAGGCTCCTAGTTCTGTGATGTAGTAGAGTTCCTGAAACACGGTCTTCTTACTCTTAGACTCTCAGGATAATATCTAGAGTTCCCAGTCTGATGACTCAGAAGGTTTTGGCCATTCCCTTTAGTAGACACACAGCTAAAGATGCACACAGAATTGCATTCACTTTTGAATAAATTTTATTTATAATTATTCATTCTTTCTTGAAATCTTTTAGAATCATCTTGGTTAAAATCAGTACATAAAATAATCTTCACTGTATTTGTTACATATGGCACAGAATAAGTTAACATTGTATAAATATGTTTCATTGATGCACAAATGGGAGAAGCACCCTTTGCTAAAAGCAGTATGGTAATTAAGTTCAATTTGGCTACAGTAGCACTTTAAAAAATGACCATGAGATGGCACTGTGGCCAAGTAGATTATGCTTTAAACTGTGAGTTTTCCCCCTGATGATAGCATTTAATTCCTTTCTTTAAGTGTGGAAGAATTTATCATTCAAGTTAAAACAGAATAAGATTTGTTACTCTGGTTTAATGGTACTGACTAGGAGTGAATCCATTCATCACAGATCCATAAATCATTTGAGGAACGTATTTCACATGCGTGAAGAATGTTTTTTTAAAAACCATGTTAGAAAGTCCCCAGACAAAACAAAGGGCTCAAGATACCATTTTATTTAAGATCAATAAACTATATATGGACCATTGTTTGTGCCACCCCACAGAACTGTGTTAAAAAGTCTTTCCACAAAATTAGATTGACTTCCAGTTTATTTGTTTATTTCAAAGGTTGATATCTTTGTTCCTCTTGAATCTGCTTTGATAGCAATGGAAGGTCTTAGCAATATTAGAACATTAATTCACATTTGAATGGACATGATACAAACATGCACACATGTGTATATGCCGAGTGTCTTCATTGATTGCTCTCTCTCCACATAAATATATAAATATTGAATAAAGTGCATGGGAACATGTCTGTACATATATACAGATACACATTTGTCTATATACACTTGAATAGATACTTATGGAGAGAAAGAAACACAAACATATTTGTGATATATGTAGTCCAAAGACTTCTGTCAGGCAAGGTTCATTCTGTCAAGATTTAATACATATGGGGGTAGAATCTGTTATTTTTCTCTGATGTATAACGAAATGTGCAGAGTTATAAACTAAGGCAAAATGCAGCAAAGACTTTTTATCCTTTGTATTTCATCAGTAGTTCAGTCCAAATGCAGTCTTGGTAGTAGTGACATGTTGCACATTCGAGCTTTCAGATAGTGAACCAACTTTCAGTGTGTCCATGAGGACATAATTAGGATAGCCCTGATGCAATTCCAAACTACACAATGGTAATTCCTCTGTTATTTAATTTTTAAATCTGTAGCTTTTATCACAGGCTTTAGAAAAAAACTCTTTTTCATTCAGTAGAAATCTTCAGCATTATAGTCATATATCGAATATCTATTCCAATAACAATGTGTGACTATTACTATATCAGGGTAAATTAACTCCTGTCAGTTACTTTTTCTCTTTAGTAACATTTTTCTATAAAACATTAGGTTTATTTACTTATTTATTGGTGAGTTCAGTGTCACAGTGTTAAACTAAAACAAATGTTTTAGAGAGATGAAACAAAATCTTTGACCAAAACTTTAGCAGTCATAGGTTGGGTACTGACTGTGGGGCGTATTTCTAAATTAATTGCAATGCTTGATTTGACCCCAAGTGATGTTTTCTTTCTTCTTTCTTTGGTTGGTATTCACTGGTAACCAATATTGAGATAACTACCCTCAGAGTGCAAACAAAGCTATTTCTGGGCCAAGTAACAACGAAATATATTAAAATGATTCTCAAAATAAGTCTGTCTGTTTATAATTTTTTGACAAGGATTATTCCAGTGTCATCATTTCCCTTATACATAAGGATCTTGTTTTATTTTTATATCCCTAATATCTGGAAAATTGCTTTACACATAAGTATACACTCAACAGATGACTGTGAACCCAAGTCAAATGGTTTTGATAAATAATATAGGTTGATTAACCTGAAAGCATCAATGTACCTGATGAATGTCCATGGGAAATTCTCCTGCTCTTTATAGAGATGTCCCAGGACTCCGCTACCATCAACAGGCAGAAACCTGAGTTTATTCCTCAATCCTGATGCAGTTACATCAACATATTGTTCACTGCTCAAAGGAGGGCATGCAGTCATTTCACAGCAACTTACCAAATACCTCTAAGGTGCTGTTTGAGAGAAGCAATTTCTAGAAATATAGTGGATAATGTTAAATTATCCTTCTGATAGGTTACACAGAAGAACAAATATTAAACAAGACCACATTGGAAATTCATAGTATAGCACAAGAAGTAGAAGAGAAAGCAGCAATAATTATTCAATAACATCTAAAATCTTTTTTCACTTCTGAGAAGAATGAACTTGAAATGCAGCAAATGCCAGCAACTGTGTGACTGTTTCAAAATGGCATCTGTGAAAAAGCAGGAAGGAAAATGTTGTCAAGTATTTCACTTAATTGTCTTAGCAATATGGATTTTATGACACTGTTCTTTTTTTTTTTCCTTTCAAAATATATGTCATGTTCAGTTTTAAATAGAAGTTTTCCTTATTTAAGAGGCCACTATATTGAACAAATTGTTCATTATTTATAGCTATTTTTATTTACAGGAATAGATAACCAACAAATCCCATGCCATCAGTTAACAACATAGTAGCAAGGTGTCCACTTGACAATGGAAGTTAACGTAGATTTATTCAGGGCCTCATTATAATTATACAACAAAAGCTCATTATTTTAAAGCTGTATCATTTACAATGTTAAAAATAAGTCTCATAAAGCTCACAGCTGAAATGCTGCCAGGACATTTTTGAAGTGCACATTTTGTGGCATTTAACCCTGCTTTTCATTGACAGAATAAAATGAGGCATACACATATTATTGTTGGTTCCACTAGACGGGCCTAATTTTTATTTTTTTCTCCAGTCTTCCTAATACTTGTTTCCCCAGATAGGTGAAAATTTGCTCAGCGTGCCCTCCACAGTTGCCATGGCAACCAGTCTGTCACACACAGCTAACCTTTTCATTCACTGTGTCGATATTGTCTGTCGAAGCATCATCTGAATGTTGTTTTCCTAGAGCAACCATAGAGCAGTCATTATCTGTCATCTTGGCTTCTTTCTTTGAATTCTTTTTTTGTCCCATTTGGAGTTGACTAGACTTGTAGGCTAAGGCTGGTATAGTGTTCACTAAAATTAACTGCAACGGTTTCTTGTTCTCCTTGTACTGACACTGGATGTACCGCGAAAAGGCCGACCTATAGGTCTTGTTGAACAGTGTGTAGACCAGCGGGTTGACGGCTGAGGAGAGGTACCCGATCCAAACGAACACGTTGAGCAGGGCCCCGATGACGGCTTCGTTGCAGGACTCCTTGCACATGACGGCCATGATGTTGGTGATGAAGAAGGGGCACCACATCACCACAAACAGGAAGAAGACGATGCCCAGCACCTTGCAAGCCTTCTGCTCGTTGCTGATGGACTGCATCGTCCTCCTGCCTGCGTAGGATCCTGGCTCCCGGTGGATCGACCTCTGGAAGAGCTTTTCTGAAGACAGGGAGCTCTGAGGGAGGAAGCTGAAGGAAGCTAACTTGGCTCGTGTGCCTGGATCACTCACACACAAAGTAGCTTCTTTCTGGAGCGACTTGATAGTTAGAAAGTAGGTGATCACCATGATGGTTAAGGGGATGAAAAAGGACACAAAAGAGCCGATCAGGACAAAGTTGTCATCGGCAAGTAAGCAGCTCCCCTCTTTGAAGACCTTGGAATCATCCTGTAGCCCAAAGACTGGTATTGGCATGGATATACCTGGAGTTGGACAGAAAACGAAACACGATTATTAAGGAATGGAATACATGAAGGCAAGAACATTGCCACCGAATGGTGGCTGTTCAAAGAATTTTATACCAGTAGTGTTTAAAAGTGTATATTTTCACTGTGAATTTCAGATTCCTTTGGACCTCTTATCTGTTTTAAAAGTACTGCATAAAAGTACTGTATTAAATAATTTACCATATGTTGTGTTGGCTTATATAGATAGCTCTATATTTATTAATTTTAATTTCTTATGCCATATTCTCTGGTTAAAAATCGTACTTATTAATTGAAGAAAAAACACACATTAGCAAAAAACAAAACTAAAAATGACCAACATGCCACCATCTAGTGATAAGCACCATTAACAATTTGATGCTATATTTATTTTAGCTCAACATACACCACACACCATGAGCACACATTTAGAAATAGAATTGGGGTTCTATTTATTTCCATGTAGCTATTGTCCCATCATCATAGCTCAAATATAAAAATAACTATCAAATTATAATATATATCTTCTTTTTAGGAAATTCAGAAAATACAAAAAAGTAGCAATCAAGAAAACTAGCAAGTGTTCTCACCAGCCAGGGAGAATCATAATCTGTATTGTTTCCATTTACATACACACATAAAGTATATCTACTCACATATGCAGTACATAAAGTAAGAGTGAATCATGAAACATTTAACAATCATGAAAATTTCATGTACTTTAAAGTGTTTTTGAAAAATGTTTCTAATATGAATTTAAAGTAACTTTAACCAATTTTGATCTTTTAAAAAAAGTCTTTACTGTAGAAGATTTTTAATATATGCCAAAAAACCCCCACAAAAGGACAACAAAAACCTACACAATGAATCCATCACCTTGTTTCAACAATGATAACTCGAGCCCAATCGTGTTTCACAAGTACTCCTACCTGCTGCCACTCTTCCTGTGGTATTCTGAAGCAAATCCCAGACATCACATCATTCCATTTATTGTGATTTCATTACATTAAAAAGCTACACACTTACAGAAAACTCCGATATGACCTCAAAACCATTCTTACTCCTAAAGAGAAATGTAATGTTTTCTTAGTATTATTAAATATAGAGTCAGTATTCATATTCCCAACTGTTTGTAGAAGTTATTATCTATTTTTAGTAGTAGAGAATTCATAAGGGTGGGTTGCAAAAAAAACAAGGCATCCAGAGACTTCTCTTTTATTGAAAAACATAAAAAGTTAGACAGGAAGAGACAATGCATGGGAACATGACCCTATGGTCAGTTGCTCTGTTACACAGATTTTGGGGATCTGTAGAGCAGTTGGGTGCAGCGTTCAGGTGGAGGAAGGAGCAGAAGTGAGTGCAGGCAACACTTGCCCTCTAGTCATGCTAATTTATCTGCTTGCAGACTGCACTTTACTAAAAGGGGCTTAAGTTGGCCATGTGGTGCAGACCCCCACCCTGCCCTTCTCTCCGGTGCTCAGGAGAAGCCAGAAGATTGGATCTTTCTGGGCAAACTTTAGTCCCAGTGGAGCCCCACTCTACTCCGGGAGGATGGACAGTACCTTCCTCTACCGGCCTGTGACTGATCACACCAAGGCGGTCATAGGATGGAATGCATGTTCCCTCTGAGTCAGGATGATGAGAAAGGAGAAGTAAGAGAAATCAAATACTCCACATAAAAAAGTGGCCCCAGACCTTTTTCCCCAGACCCCCTGGGGAAAGAGAAAGAAAGCTTGCATTGCTGGGCTGGTGGCATCCATCTGGGAAGGGTTCCACTGGAGGTCTGTAACCAAGCGTCTGCCTACTTAGAGTTCATCTGCATCCAACCCCAAGGAAACTGCCTAACCTCACATCATCTCACATTGGCCATGCTGGCAGGAGGGAACATTCACTTTGAGTTAGTGTGTGTTTAACACAAATCTTTCTTGGTGACATTTGCCATTATCTTCACAGACTTTAAATGACAATATTTGTCACATGTCTATTCAAGGCTGTCCCAGGATTCTTGGAAGGTAGCAATAAATGACATCAGTGTGGTTCTTAAGGACGCACACTCTGGCTGATGATGCTTTGTTTCTTGCATTCTTTTCTGTCCCTGGCTCCTTTTTGGGAACATTCTGTGGGCCAAGAAGAGATGGAAGAGGTTTGGCTCCAGGAGGAACATCCTCTGAGACCCTGGCTACTCATCAGTTTTGCTTATCTTTCAGAAAACTTTTGATTATACTATTCCATTGTTGGAATATATATCTGTAAAAGGTGTTTCCTAAACTCACCAACAAGGTCTTTTTCAGTAATATACAGTCAGTCCTCAGTATTCATGGGTACTGGTTCCAGAACCCCCTGTGAATATCAAAATCTGAGATGTATACAATTTGCATGTAACCTACATACCCTCCTGTACACTTTAAATCATCTATAAATTATTTATAATACCTAATATAATGTAAATGCCATATGAATAGTTGTTATACTGCATTAAATAATAGTACAATAAGAAAAGGTCTATACATATTCAATAAGATACAATTTTTAAAACATACTTTTGATCCATTGAATCTATGGTTGAATCCTTGGATTGGATGATGGGATATCTTTGGTTGCTCAATTATTAGAATGTATGCTTGAACATCTGCTGAGACAGCTCTGGGTTGGCATCTTGGCTCTATCTCTGGGCTTTAGCATTGGCTATATTGTGTACATTATTGCTAGGGTTCTCAGTTCTGGATCTACAATATGAGATGGACACTACCATGCCTTCATGGAGTGGTGAAGATAAAATGCATCAAATGGGCTTAGCACCTATGACAGTTTCTAGGTCAGAAGAGAAGTCCCACCAACCGTAGATAAACATGGGAATTGCTTTGTCTGCAGAACTATTCAGATTAAATACATCATTGCTATTTTGTTCTTATCTATTGTTCTTAGTTTGTATGTACCAGACTTGATATACTAGATCTCTGTAAACCAAAAGAAGCCAAAAAGAGTTTTGTCTATTGGCTATGTAGTTAATAATCATGTAATTACTTGCTTCTGTCAGGGTGATGTAGGGTCTCAATCAATTTTAATTTTGTAAAGCTAGAACTGTTGATTACTTTTCTAAAGTGATGAATTACTATTCTTTACGATTAGTTATGATACACATAAACAAAGTGATAGCTGTCCAAAAAGGTGTATTATTGTTATTAAACTCTTGGGTGTTCATATTCCTAATGAATACAAAGGAAGTTATTACCTTGAGAGTGTTTTGCTGCATTTGTTTGAGACTTCATAATTTATATAAGTGAAAAATATCAATTAACCAGAATATGGGATCATCTAAAACATCAAATTCTTCAATCATTTCTAATTCAGAATAGTGTTCTTGGTTGAGGAGAAAATACACACACACACACACACAGCCCTAGAAAGACTCAATTCCCACAGCTGGGGAAGCAGGGGGGTGATGAAGCCATGGCACTGAAGTAGAGACTCTCCTTCCAACTGGCTGGGATGAGAGCTGCTCCGGCAGAGGGCATGTTAAGAGGTTGTAGGCAGGGTTGTGGCATGTCTGGAAGGGGTGTCGGAGGGATCTTGATTTTGTGGGGAAGAATCAAACTCACTGGGTCTCTCAATGCCACCGCCATCCCTACATATAAAACAAAATGAACTGATTCATCTCCTATGCCATTTTTTTTCAGTGCCTCACTCATGGTCAGTAGCAGGCAAGGCTTTGTAGAAAGAATAACCAGAAAGTTAAAGCAATACTCTGTAGAAAAGGGAAGAAATTTGATGTCAAAGTGCTAGAACACCGCGTGAGGCTTTGTGGATCCAAGAAACAGCTCAAAACCATGCTGCTACCAAGAGAGAGGAAGGCACTGGCTGATGGCCAAGATTGTGGTCACATCCATCTCTGGGGTGTTCATTTTCTGGCTGATTTGTTTGATCGTAGCTGCTGTTGGAGACCTGACATTCCCTCTTCCTTGGAATTTCTGCATATAAAGCAGAAATTATAAAAAGAGACAGTAGCTTGAACTGCGTGACTCTGCGTTTTGTTTGATATATTTTCTAAGGAGTGGAAGACAGCAAAAAAAAAAATCAGTATCAGTACTGGATCTTCCATGCACATTTTGATCTTTTTTTGTTGAAATGTAAAAAATGAAATGGCTGGGAAACATTGAAACGTAAGAGCGTGAAGGTTTCCACTGGTGGCTTTCTTTTTGCCTAGCTCTGCCTACTCTTTGTATACAAAGTTTGTACCTGTAATTGATGTCTTACCAGAGCTGGATAAATAACCTTAACTCTGACCTCCCAGCCACAAAAGATGCTTTTTCAATGTTTATTTATTTATTCTCATTTAGTTGAAAGGCAGAGAGAGAGAGAGAGAGGGAGGGAGGGAGGGAGAGAGATTGAGATTCCATTGGCTGGTTCACTCCCAGCCTACAAAAGCCAGGACTGGGTCAGGCTGAAGCCAGGAGCCAGTTACTCCATCCTGGTCTCCCACATGGGTGGCAGAGGCCCAGTCACTTGAGCCATCAGCGGATATCTTGCAAGATGTGTTCACAAGAAGCTGGACTGGAAGCAGTGGTGCTAGGACTACTGTGCCCAGGCTTTATTTTTTAATTCTAGGTTTTGTTCGTCTTAATATCTTAGGACTGGAGAGTGAACTTCCCTTGGAAAACAAGAAGGCTGCCTTATTAAGTAGTTATTCTCACATAGTGAACAGGACAGAGGGAGTCCCTGAGGCCTCAGGTAAAAAAGAAGACAAGGGCAGAAACAAATATTTCAAACTCTCATGAAAAAAGTCAACATCTGGCTCCTTGGTTTCAATTCCCCTAAAACTGCCATTTCTCCTTTACATTTTAATGAGTGCTGAATTTTTCAAGTTAGAAGAATGGATTTCCTAGCAGTTTGAAAGCATCACCAGTAAATACTGCAAGAATATCCTCATTCGTGCAGGGAAAGAGGGATTGAATATATAGGGCAGCTGTGGCTGGCACTCACCACCCTGAAATAGATCA